TGTATTTGATTATGTTTATCTGCAGTTAGTTACATGAATTCAGATATGGAGCTTTTATAAGTTGTATTTACGCACAATCTACTTGCAATCTTGAGTTTTAAGTAATATACATTAATAAACAGTACTTTACGCATACAAAGTGGTTTTTAAGAGTTTTTGTCAAATGTTTTATAATATAGTATAGATATCATTAAATAAAAAATAAAATAATTCCTTATTAAACCTAAATTAAATTGTAATAAAAAAATTGAATTAAAGAAATTACACAACAAAACAAGAACTTTTAAATGGTTAATTTAATACTAATATCGATGTATACTTTTTTAAATTCTAAGATATCTTTAAATTTATATTTTATTTAAAAACAAAAACATTATCGTTTTTTTCTTAAAATCACATAAAACCGTATTATAACATCGATAGAGGATATAATAAAACGAAACATTAAAATCAAGATGTATCTCGTTATATTATGCAAATACCCTTCTAGTAATTATTAAAATAGAGTAGTCGGTTGTTGGGTTATAATGTAATTTTTCCTTTTTAATTTTGGGAAAAGTACAATAAAAACCAATGAACTTTCTTCTTTGGAATGATTAAGTCCTTGGACTTTTTTTTGGAACAAATAAGTCATTGGACATTCCAAAACATGTTAAATAAGTTCTTAGACAATTTTTTGGAACAAATAAGTCCTTGGACATTCCAAAATATGTTAAATAAGTYCTTGGACAATTTTTGGAACAAATAAGTCCTTGGACATTCCAAAATATATTAAATAAGTCCTTGGACAATTTTTGAAACAAATAAGTCCTTGGACATTCCAAAAAATGTTAAATAACTCCTTGGACAATTTTTGGAACAAATAAGTCCTTGGACATTCCAAAAAATGTTAAATAACTCTTTGGACAATTTTTGTAACAAATAAGTCCTTGAACAATCTAAAACATGTTAAATAACTTCTTGAACTTTTATAAAACATGTTGGATACATTATTATGACTTGTACAACTAGTTAAAGTGGTAAAATAGTGAAAAAAA